TTTCTTTTTGCCCTATTGACCCTGGATTTCCCTTGAAACAAATTTAAACAAAATACAAAACTGTTGACTCTCTTCATCTCCACCATCACAGAATGAGATTCCAGTCACAGTATTTCCTAAACCCTACATAATAACAGACCCAGTGGCCCAGGTGAATACTCACAGAGGGGGCTTTGAGTTAGGATGTTCAGTTTAAAATGCTATTACTTAAACCTCAGACTTGCTGTGCTGTTGGCTCTGAAGAAATCTGGTTGAAACCACAGGGCTGACACCCTGCGTGCCAGGCCTGACCGTGGGGCCGACCCCTCTGCATGCCAGGCCTGGTAGCTGGGTTGGAGTCCTAATTCTTAAACTGAAGCAAGGAAATCTGATGAAGAAAGTCTGTTTCATTATCTCTTTGTAAAGAGCAACCATATGCTTTCTCAGCCCTTATTTTACTAGATACCCTATATTGTGCAATTGAAAATGTATACTGTTTATATTTGCATATATCAAAAACATGCACAAATGTCTGATTAGACAAGTTTGTGCTAACCATTGTTATACTTGCGCTGAAAGGTCTCAGATCACTTCCACCAAACGGTCAGTGAATTTTTCTTTACAATCCATTTCCCTTTAGGCTGGCATATACTAACTTTAGGAGCTTCAAATTCTGCAATGCATTTCTCTGAAGTTTAAAATATGCTAACTATAGAAAATCTCATTCAAAATAGTATATTTAGCAACAGCCATACAGAATATAAAATGTGTCACCCTAGTCTCATTTCTGACTTCTTGTTCCTGAACAATCTTGCACTTGGGATGTGCTCTGAGATTTTCTTAAGTTCCACTTTTACTGTCTTCTCCTCCTCACTTCCCTCTATGTGCTGCCTTTCTGCCTTTTCCTTCAGTCTGCAGAACTGATACTCTCTCTCCAGTCCTCCAGCTGGGAGAGCCAAGCATTTACAAAAGACATACGGTTTTCTTCTCCTCAAAAGGCTGTTCTTCCACTCTGTCCAGAAGGTACAAGCTCTGCGAAGCAGCTGTATTTCTCTGGTTACCAGCAATGTTTCGATGCGAGCTAGTAAAAGTTATTTATAATATGTGCTTGTGTGGTATTACTTATTAGAGGACTAAAATAGCCTTGATGCATTTCTTTTCTGGTTACGTTTACAGAAGACATACTGCTTCCTGCTCGCTCCTGCTTTCCCCTCAAGGAGAATGGGATGCAGGCTGGCTTCTCTACAATTACTGAACGCAGGAGCAAGGTCAGGGCAAGTGAGAGAAAGTAGTGAAGCTCAGGGGGTCTGTCAGCCCTATCAGTCACGGACACATGGATCCCAGCTTCTGCAGGCTGCAGCTGTTCAAAGAACTGACGGGAGCTGGGAGCAAACAGTAGTTTGGCTCGGGCCAGTGTGACGTGACAACTTCTGCACGCACGAAGAGCCACGCAGACAGATGATCTAATTATGTAACTTGACAAGCGGGGAGCACCTGATTATACATATAGCAGCTGTACTTCTTTTCCATGTTCTGAGTAACTGAGTATAGTTTGATATAATTTAACACAGTTTAAAAAATTATGCTTATTTTCACAGGGGCTCCTTTATACTTAGATAATAAGAATGTACTTTACAGTGAACATAAATTACACCTATATTGACTTTACTGGAACAATGAAAAACGTCCACGGCATAAATAAGACCTTCTGGTACCATCAGCATAGCTTAATTTGATTTTATCGATTACTATTTTCTTGATTCATAAATAGAAGATAAACTGTAGGATTTTGTTACTCACAGGAATTCCAGGTTTCCCTGCCTCACCCATCGCTCCTTTCTTCCCTGTGGGTCCCTAGAAGTTATAAATATTTGTGAATTGACAAATGTCATTAATTCAAATCCCTAAGAAGAGCTGAGAATTGTTCCCCTCTAGCATGAGCGTTCACATTGCCTGGCTTTGGATCAGATCACTTCCATTTCAGGAGACAGCAGAAACTTTTTCTAGAAGGGCATACATTTTCTGGTAGACTTCTATACGTTTTCCCTTTCCTCAAAGGATAATGTGTAGTTTTCAGATCAGTTTGAACAGCAATTGGCATAAAAATTTATTTGCTGCAAATCTGACAATTTCCTCTCTATCAGCCACATCTTTGTAAGGAAGTACACTTTTACCACACTTTCCATATCTTTTAAAAATGAAAATCATGAAAAGCAAGCAATGTAGATGCACTGAATGTGTGTGGAAGAAGGTACTAGAAAACAAGGCTATCACAGAAGGGAACATTCTTTTTTGTCTATAACATACACAAAAGAATATTTACTTTAAACTAGACTTTTTTGCTTGTTTTAAGCTAGAAATCTGTAGTTAAGGACAGGACAACTAAGTGATATTGATAGCAGTTAACATTCTCACACGTGACTTAGTGACGCAGCAGACCAATTACCAACACAGAACAGCTCAGAATGGATCAAAACCACTTCAGAGAATTTCACTTATATTTTTCATGTTTTAGGTTTATTCGTTCCATTTCACTAACTTTAGAAAGCATTCATGAACCACAATGTGTACAGGAATTATATTCTATCTCCCAAGGATACAACCACTCAGATATCAAGAACAAGAATAATAGTTGTTACCATAGATAAAATAAAAAAGTACTTCCAAGATTTTCTGGATTAATTATTTTTAATACCGTTCCGAAAGCAAAAGTTAGAGAATTACTATGCTGCAATATGTTAAAATGACATATTATGTAATAAAGTGAAAAAGCCAAAAATCTTTGTAAGTGTAAGTCTTTTGTAATTAATATATATAATAAAATCAGGAAAATTCTGTTCCATTTCTTAATGCCTTTTTGTTAATAGTTATACAAAAACTTCACAAATCAAAACTGGAACCTACATATTCAAAGCACTTTATACCGTTTTCACTAAAATTTCAGAAGGCATCTAAAATAAACCCAGACAATTCAGCATTGCAGTTAATGGGATTTGCTTTGTAAAGTTTGTTAAGCAGCCCCAGTCATATCGCAGGAGTCCAGACTGTATCACTGTGTTTCTACTATTAACTTTTTTTCATAAAGCTTTAGACAGTTATGGTTTGCTCCAGGCTGAATGTTGAATCCATATTGATAAATGACATTTTTAATTTGAGGGGCATCTGCAACAGAAAGGAAATCTTCTCCATGGGGAGGGCAGAGGAATGACTGATTTTATCCTGTGCTGTGAGCAGTTTGTCAAAGGTAATATATCTGAGCACGTGGTGATTGTACATGCTGACAATGTCTCCACTTGCTATTTCCTTTTTATTGCTCCCCATTCCTAATCTACCATAGATTCTTATATTTACCTAGAAAAAAATGAAATTGTATCAGAGTTGTTTTGTGGAACTCCTCAGAAAAAAAACTAATATCTCATTTACGTGGCAATGGCAACTGATATTACAAGCAATCTTTTAGCCTAAATCTTTTGAAATCTCAAAAGTCAATAAAAGTCATCCTGTGGCAGAATATAAAATATTTTTGGCAACTTTCAACACACCATCAAGATGAACTGTTTTTTCTAAAGGAAAATATTTGCTCTTTGATCTTTTCTTTATAACTTGTTATGTCATTATTCCTCTACCACTCTGCAGCAAATTCCATATTACCAAGTCCACTGAATATTTAGTGAAGCACAGTACCAGGAGGTGTTATTTACAGATCAGAGCAGTATAATCCTTGGCATTTTGCAGAGCTAATTTGCCATAAGGAATTCTAGTTAAGGGTATAACTGAATATCAGTCAAATGTTTCCAAAAGAGCCTTTCTTAATGCTTTATATCACTCTGAGGCAAAACCACCTACGTATCAAATACATATTTGCTATCTAAGATCATTATGTAGTTATCCTAATTTTCTGTTTATATTTTTATCCTTCCCAGAGGTATGAAAAGAAAATCCAAACATTGAACTTCAACCTTATATAATAGTAAAACCTAGAACAACTTCCATGGTGCCCTGACATACATTGCCCATACAGGTAATTTATCAAAAATTTCCCATAAGCTTAATATTTGGAAAAAATAGCCTGACCACTTCCAAACAGAATTTAAATCTGGGATCCGATTCTTTTAAGGAAAAGGCAAGATGTCACCCATGGATAATGCCATATAAATGCTGAGACACCACACAAGCATCTCTGCACAGAGTCAAACTGTGCCTCTTCGAGAGGGAATGCAGCATAATCCGTGTGTGTCGATGGCTGACACCAGACGTAACGGTTGCGCGCTCCTGGAAGCGATCACAAACACTGCTGGAGCTCCGGAGAGCACTGGACACTGCACTGTCTCCATCTCAGACTAGGTAACTTGAAAGTATTGCTTAGTCCTTGCTGAATATGCCTTATAAGCTCTTTTTGACTTGAAATTGTAAATACAGCAAAAAGAACTTCCTGTTAACTAGCTAGCCAAAATTCATCCTAAATGTATCAAACAGGAGGAATCTAGATTTGACCTGATTTGAAACCTAGATATTTTTGCTACAGAGGTGCCCAGCAAGCCCAGACATTTCTTAAAACTTAAGAAACGTACTGCAGCAAATCTGTCTAGGGCACCATATTATAGTGGTGGACAATGATACAGATTTAAGCGGGATTCAACTCCAGTGTGCTAGTTCAGGTTCTTAAAGACTTAACAGAACGTGGACTATGAGAACAAGCAGTACAGAGTCCTAGCCTTCCTGTCACACTAGAATATAAAGGTAAACAACATATTATCTTTCAGAACATCAGTCATAAATCATGCTTCATTCTTAAAAGCAGCCTTGTGATTCAAACATTACGCTATCTTATTTTCTAAGGACAGTAAAGGTTGAATTAGAGTAGTAAAAAAAAAAATAAAAATTCAGTGCAGCTTTTGTTTATTTTTTCTACTTACTTCTGAACCTCTTTCTCCTTTTGGTCCTTGTTTCCCCATTTCACCTGGTTCTCCCTTAGGAAAGAACAAATATTAAATAAAATTTTAAAATCCTTTGAATGAAGATGAAAACGAATTTTCAACAGCAAACAGAGAATCTTCACTGTCTCAAACACTTACTGGAGGCCCTTGCTGTCCAATAGGTCCTCTAAGCCCTGGAAGACCTGTATGACCCTGGGAAGCAGAAAATATAACATATTACAATACAGATAACTCAGATATGTCAAGCTCAATAAGGTGCAAATTTCCTTCTGAGGCCTGTCTTGGGAGGGGCTGAGTGGCCCCAGCTTCCATGACTTAAACTTTATAAAAGGATGCTCAAGTACCCTGAGACCAGACCTTGGGTAGCCTTTCTTCTTTCAATCCCCTACTCAAAACTTACTGCAAGAGAGACTTATATATGGTTTAAACATTTCTGCCCCACTGTGAGCACAGATCATATTTAGTTCATTGATTTATTGCCATGCCTGGTCTGTACTGTCTGTGTAACTCAAACAGGAAACTTTGTATCAAGGACTGAGTCTTTTATATTGCAGCAAATAAACATCATAGGTAATTAGGATGAGGTTATCATCCATTTCCTTAAGACTGTATAGGATAATGAATAATTGTTGGGATGAGATCTATAAAACCATAACGCTTAAATTTCAAAGAAAAATCATAACTGATCAGCTCAGTGAGATATCAGCAGGTGCATCTCTGTGCACCCTTTTGAGAGAACACCCGATACTTCTTGTACACTTGTACTCTACATACATGTATAGAACACCAGGTTCCAATAAAAAGAAGTGAAAAGTAAGAGGTAATTACCTTGTAGCCCTCATCACCAGGTTCTCCCCTATCTCCACGTTCACCACTAGGACCCTGCAGAGAAATCCAAAGAGCACAATTTAGCAGCTGAATGTACTACTGCAGTGTAGTGAAGACAGAAAGCTGGGATTTCTCTGAAAACAGACTGACCATCCAGCCTGAATCAAGGATTAAAGTTAGCTTGTCTAAAAGAGTAAACACGAATTATTTCTAAACAAAATGCATTACAGTCAGACATGAGACACTGTCTAAAATATTTTGTAACTGAAGACCAGAGGCTAAAAGATAGACCTTATATGGCCATGAATTAAATAAGAATATCAACCGTAGTAGAATTTCTCCAAGTTTACACTCTCCTATATGAGAACAAAATTAAAAATCTCCATGGATAAATGAAGAGACTTTGTTCGGAAGGCAGAAGAGGAATACTCTTTCATTATGATTTCCATAAGGGAACATATGGAAAATGAGGTCCTTTTTTCGAAATGACTTGCTATACGCAAGAACCTGCTTTAGTTTTGAAGTTTGCTCTAATGAAAAAGCATTCTCATTCCCTCAGCACGCCTGCCCGGGAGGCATAAGGTGTGAGACCCGTGCAGGAGCTGAGGGAGTGGCATGACTCTTATGAGTCCTGCAGCTGTTCCAGCTGCAGTTAGACACCTACTGGCTCTACTTTAGGAAAAGCTCATTACTCTAATTCCATAAGAAATGGGATTTCTCCTGGGAATTTTAACTCTCATTGCAGCAAATGGACCAAATCTCAGTCACAAAGAAAACAATGGGGCAGGGAATCATGCCCAGAGAAAGTAAGGATGGCCAAGACTTGCCAGTAGACAGACATCCAGCCTCTTTCTCCTTAGTTAGGACAATTAATAAGGAATTGCCTTTTCTCATCCTGTGTCGGAAGTAAAAGCACATCATGAAAAACTAGCCTGGGATCACTAACTGTAGTCTATCTTTATAGTTCACAGATTAATAGATTAGTCATAACTATTACACATCCACCAAGAGACACTATTATCCAACCGCTCCCATACTCTCCAAGGTTTCTGTAGCCTCGTGGCATGTTTCCTATAGGGAATCCACAAGATGGCAAGGCCCTGCTTGCAACTCTTCATCAGTTGGCAGGGCAGAGCCAGCCCAGCTATGACAGGAGTAGCTGGGTTCTCTTCTCTCATGCATTTCTATAATGAAGAAATGTGGCCCAGACTCTCCCTTCGGTTACATTGGAGTCTTATAGTCCTGCTTTTTGGGGAGATGAGGTATAAAGATTAAGGGCAGTCTGAAGAGAAATAGGCTGTACAAGCATTACTTTTGGCACAGTCAAAGCCTGAACATGAATCATTTTTTGCAAGATTTTGGGATGGTAGTTATTTTTTGGACATGTTCCTAATTGCTGCTGAGAAATACTCCACATATGAACTTAGCAAACAAATGGTTACAAAATGCAGCTCCTTCTCTCGAAGCTAAATTAGCTTTGCAGAATAATGGAAGCAGTCAAAACAAATTTCTGGTTAGTAAAGCAATTAGGTATAATGTAGAATAAACACAGAGGGTAAAATTCTGTTCTGAGTTGTGCTGCTCTAAAACACAGGCTAATGGCATTAGTGTAATTAAACACAAGACACATACTCTTAAGCAGGAAGGAGCACATGACCGTGCATTTTTCAGAGAGGGATTATTGATTTAAGGACCCTTGCTCTACATTTTTGTACAAGTGAGTGCTGACTCCCGGGACAGTGATATAAGTTTCAGAAACGGCCTGCGTTGTCTCTTGTCTTGAGGCACTAATAGAATTTTTTTGAGAAAGAAAGACCTACTGGTTCACCTATGGGCCCAAGTGGTCCAAAAACTGTATTGTCTTCGCCTGGGTAACCCTGAAATAAAAGATAAGTATTAAAACATTTGCTTGAAAATTCAACATTGCCTGCAATGCATATATGTTCAGCTGTAGATAATAAACCCACAGGGTGTATTGCATATTTGCTAATAGTGAATATGATGCTTACAGCTTTAATACAGTGAAGACTCCTTTTTAACATGCACAATCATTCTAAGAAACTCATTTAGGACTAAAAATTAAATATATGCTCTGTTCTCAAAGCCATCTATAAAATAAGTCTTTGATAAAATGTCCATGTAATCATTTTTTTATTTAATGGAGAAAAGGAGAAACAGGGTATTTGACAAGAAGAAAAATAAAAATTCTTCCATTGTTTTAAGAAATATAGCAAGCTGGACCTCTAGCTCCCAGTGTTCAGTTATTGTTTCTGAAAATTGCCTCAGAAGTTATTTACAAAATCCCCACTAGTTTCCTATTTTCAGTCTTCACAGCAAATCTGGCTCTAATATAAGAGCACGCTTCTCCATCAGGCGCAGATCCAATAAACTAATCTCCATGAAGGGATCCCTGTACCTGCTTGGGGCTGCACAGACTTCAGTAGGCATACAAATCTATTTGCAGAATTTAGGCCTTAAAAGAATAATAATGAATTTAATACTAAAATAGCAGCACTGGGGCAACATCCTGCAAATAGTTCATATTAAGCATAGACTTCTGTCCACCACAGTTGGACTTTCAGTAAGACATGTGGGAACACTCCCAGGCTTAAAGTTATGTGAACACTTTGATAATTCCATATTGGTTATTTCTGTCAACCCAGCCGAGGTCAGTGGCGCTACCTGATAGGATAGAACGTGTTTTTACAATGGGTACTTTGAATTTTAAAACATGAAACATTTCTACTGCATAATTCAGAACTTTGCCTCCTAATGATCCGTTTCTACAGGCTTATATTCCATATACTCTCACAATACCAATAAAAGTTGAAACAGTGACTTTTGCCACATGCTGTGGAAAACAGTGAACATGAAGTAACATTCCCTCCGTTTACGATCACTAGAACTGTAGGAAAGCATAATTTATCTCCATACCTTCTCTCCTTTGGGTCCTGGGGGCCCGGGGGGCCCTGGAGGACCCTGGTGACCCTGAAGAAGCAAACAAAACAACAATTAATTTCAAAACAATTAATTAATTAACAAAATAGCTAATTTCAAACCTCCTTTTACGTGCTTGTATCCTAATAATGTTAAATAGTGATGTGCCATAGAATTAATGGACCCAGCTAGAACAGTTATTGAATACAGGAAGAGCCCTGGCCACACAGGGAAACCAAAGGTCTCAGCAGGCCTCGATGCAGGTGAGGCAAGTATAGGGCCCCAGATGGAAGTTCCTGTTTGGAAGAGAGATGTGGCAGCCCAGCCTGTACGAGTAGGACTCCATCCATCCGTGACGGTCATCAGAGAACAAGAATTATTTTTCAATAAAAGCCACAATATATTTATGTCCTTCAACTATCCTCATTCAATCAGTAAGGTGATAGTTCTGTTACTGAAAGGAAAACTCTCTGGCCAAGCAGTAAGCAGAGGTTGTCTGCTGAGCTTTCTTTTTAATGACTGTCTGTGGTAGTTTTATGGGAACTTTTCTTAACAAATAGTGGGATGCATTGGACAAATAAGGGTTTCAAAGGCGAAAAACAACTGCTAGTGAACTCACATGGAACAGTCACTGTTGACAAAGGCTAACATTTCCGAGCAGGCAATCAGGTATCACACCAATTTATGTGAGTATCTGACACTCTAAGATAAACGTGTATTCTGGATATCACAGACCTTCTATGATATATGAAGCTATTTAGAGTCCCACAGAATTACTTAGGGATGTGTGTGTACACGAATTCAGTAAAAAACTCACCCCATAACCTGGAATTCCTGGCTCTCCTTCAGGTCCCATTACTCCTAGACGTCCCTGTTAAATGCAATAATCAGTGACAGAAAAATGACTTTGCTTTTAAAATGTTCCAACAAGGCATACTTTTAATGAAGTCATCAGTTAAAAAAACTTGAGAAATGTTGAGATTTTAGAACCGCATATTACTTCTTTGTTTCCATCTTTATTTGGTAAAGAATACTGGGCTTTTTCTCCGTTCCATAGAATGGATGGTCAAAATTTTCAGTCCTAACTTTACAACCCCAGTGCATAATTAGGATCAAGGAGGAAAATACCTGAACTTTCAGAGGTGCTGAGGAACTCTATTTATAAAAATTAAGTATGCCAAGAGAAGTTGAGTGTGCTCCTCACCTTAGGAAGCTGGGTGTGAGCTCTCCTACTTGAAAACACTGCTTGAAAATATCTAATGGTAGCTGCTTTACTTCTGCACTTCATGCATACAGGGATATGATGCTGCACTTGGTGGCTGTGGGACGGGGCCCTGGGGTGGCAAAGATGGGCAGGTCACCTCACTGGTGTGGAGGCTGCGTGCACCTGCATTTCCGCTATCACATGGCTGAAGTGAGCTCAGGGAGTCCAATGAGAAGGGCTTTGCATGGAGTTCATAAAGTTAACGGCAAAGCACTTAATTCAGTTAACTTAACAGATCAGACTCCCATTCAGTGCTCCTCCAGCAGTTTTTATTGGAAATGCTTTGTTTCAGTCATGACTAAGGCTTACTTCATGTGACAGCAAAACACATCTTTTCTATTCTCAAACGAGACAGTTTTAAGAAACAGCCGAATCAGTGGGGTTATATCTGGACTGCAGGGCACACGTATGCTCTGACATCCTGCTTTCCAGATCTGGGACCTGACCAGAACATGAGATGATGCACTGCAGGCCCTTGCACCCAAGTTTCTGTCTGGGGAGGTGCATGGGTCTCATTCCAACAAGGAAGGGGCCATGGCATGCACCTGGATCGGGGGCTAGGAAGGACTCCTAGATCCTACAGTTGAAACATCTCCAACATCTCCAGCTGCCTCCAAGAAATATTTATACATGCTACAGCTGTGACCTCCCTTCTTTCCATGGAGAGATGCAATGCTGCTCTTTTAAATAAATATATGTGATACAAACCAAAGGACCTCGAGTTCCTCTTGCACCTTTAGGACCAGTTTCTCCAGGCTGGCCAAAGTCACCAGCAGGTCCAATTTCTCCAGGGGGCCCAAGCTGTCCCTTTTCCCCCTGTTGGTGTTATTGTATTAAAAATAGTAAGAGATTGATACAAATTTTTCAAATATGGTTTATGTCTTACCAAACTGTGATAACAGCATTATTTAAGTAATCGTAATACTCTTATTATGTCATTTGCTGTAGTTCGTAGCCTGTTTGCACCCAGAACTCTTCAGTGAAGAAAACTGTGCTAAAGCCACTCTATTTATTTTTGGCTTTAGCCAAAGCTTAACATTTTTGGATTGCAGCAGAAACTGTTCTGAGTTGCAAAATCGCATCCTGATCCAAATTTAAATTTCCTCAGGCTAGAAGAAAAATTGGCTTGAAGTGTGACATAAAACAGGGACAGACTTGGTTCATTTTATGACTATACTGCAGCATGAAACTATCAACACATATAATAAAGTCTCCTGATGTCTTTTAGGGCGCTGCCTGGCATTCATCAGTGTCAAGGGATTGACTAGAATTATTTTGTAATGTAAATTCAAGTATCAGATAAAAGGAAGGGAACTAGAGAAAATGAAAAATATTACCTTCCTCCCTAGACGACCTCTCTGACCCGGATGTCCCGGTATTCCTTCTGGACCCTGTACGTTTATTAGGAAGAGAAAACACAAACGATTGAAAGAGGCCCTGGAACATGTTTAAGCTATGCTTCCAACTGGATAACCTGAGCAGACTTCCGTAATGCAGAGAGGTAGGTAGAAAAAAAATCTCATTAACTATGACTGTAAGCAAGTTAGTAGGACTGTTTCAAGTTACAGCAGAAAAAGGTGGGCAAGAATCAGGGATAACTTATCAAACTAGTGAAAACACACTGAAAACAGGGGAAAAAACATAAATCTTGTCCAGAGAGAAAAAGTTAATTTAGCAATGAAACTGCATCAAGATAAACACTGAACTTAGAGAATCTGATACGCAACAAGAGGAAAACTAAGAGAACCTTGAGGTGTCATGTGTGAAGAGCAGAGCCTTGGCACAATTCACTGCAGAGGAGAGGCCTAAATTGGAAAGTGCTGGTGCCCACTGCTGCCAGTCTCCCAGTGACCAGGAATTTGGGTGTGCAACCCACAGCTGAGGGGATGCCGTGGGGACACAGCCCTGCCGCCCTCCAGGCCGCTTCACAAACCGCCCCTCCTAAAGGTATGCGAGTGTTCAGGGCTCACCAGTTTCAATTACTCAAAAGCTCTCTGAAGGCAAGGAGGTAATTTAGCTTCAGGTTTTGGAGAAAAAGAGATACACCTCGTGTTTTGGTGCTGTTGTGGTGATTAGCCAGGATATATATATAGTTTAAACTGATGTAAAGTTCATTTGTTGTTTTGTAAGCCTCTTCTGTTTAGGGAAAAGGTAACATTCTCCTCAACCTCAGTAAAACCTTCAAACTATTGATTATAGGAAACTAATTTCCTCATTCAGACTGTGATCTGCATCCCTAGAATGAGGTCAACCAAAAGCGTGATCTGAATGCTTCCAGATGCTGGGGAGGATGAGCAGGGAGAGAGGCAGCTCCGCAGCTGCCTCTGGGATGTATGGAACAGAAACGTGAGAAATGCCCCACTAACCACATCCTCACAAACATTGAATCACTGCACCAGCCCCTCTCACTCAGCCACAGCAGCACTCATGGTGCTGTTTACTCTACTAAAGTATAACTACATACAATATAGATATGACAGGCCTGAGTTGTTTTATGATAATTTCAATGTATGAAACATGCCAGCTTCTTCAGAACTGCCATACAACCAAAAAGAATGTCAGGGTGATATTATTATATCAGAAGCTAAAGCTGCCCCTTAGCACTGTGACTGAGTGTGATAAAATGTCATAAAAATAGACTTTATAGACAGATTTTAGGTGCTAGGCTCAATGCCAGAACAAATAAACTAACTGATGCAACAATGTCAACTGCGGATCCCAATGCTTATTTACTGTTTTATCTATGCATGCATGCTGTCCTCTCTGTCCATCGGCAACCTCTGTTTCAGTTATCTAGTGTAACTGGTGTTCTCATGATGTTTCTTTAACTCCTTTCTCGGAGGCACCAAAATGAAGTTAAAGAATAAATGTCTTTCAAGAACAATATAGAATCATGAAATTCTTCCTTTCTCCTTACTTTTTGCAGTATATGCCTCATCACAGGGGAAGGACAAGGTAAGAAGAGAGGGTCCACCAGGGACATGGCCTTGCACCATAGCACAGAACTACCAACTGAAGTAATGCTGCCCAGCACAACAGACCCTCATTTTTGGAAATCTGTTCCAGGCTGAGACGGACAGCATCCCCTAACATTGTCTTTACAACATCTTGGTAGGAGGGCAGGAAGACCACTGTTAGGCAAGACAGGCAGTTCTCTGGTAGCCTGGGACAAGGAATCAGCAACAGGTTTTGTCTGGATTATCCTATAGCTATCATGGGATACTGGCTTTAAGTCACTTTTGACCTGCTTTGTACTCCTGACCAGGAGGAGCCCTATAAACCAAACCAATGCTTTAAGAAATCCCGTGCTGTGGCTGTCCGTGTTGCAGTTGTTTTGTAGATAAATAAATCTCAGTGTTTAGAATATCATTTTTTCTATAAGCGCTGTTTTAAACTTTTCTTTTGTTATTAACTTTTATTAAAAGGACCAAGAGCTAAACATGTATATGGTAATAATGTAAAACACAAATGTGGGGTAATAACACAGAATCTTAGACTGGAGTCAAATCTCTTATGCTCTAAGGTCTAAACCTTCGTAATTTACAAAGTTTCTCAAAATGACACTTCTTTGCCTCAAGGAACTTTTAATCTAAATTAAAAACTAGATAGCCCTGGGATACTAAACAAAACCGTGAGAAGGCAAAGACACAAAACAATGAAAGATCTTACTGCACAATTTATAACAGTATATGTATCTGTCCAATTTCTTAGAGTGTTTTTAAAAGTTAAAGAATGATTTAATACTTTGAGATTGCTGACAGCCTCCAAACGAAGGTAAGGATAGAGACTAATGACAGAAGGTTATCTGGAGAGGACAGAAATGAAGTGAGAGGGTCCAAGTTGTGTGGTGTATGCACCTGGGTGACAAGTGAGAAGGAATCAATATCTGCTAGGACATCCCACATTTAAGATAGGGAGACCATTAATCTTTTCTCTCTACCAAACCTGAAAAGCTGAACAGTATAGAAAGTGGAAGCGAGCTAATTTAAAAATAGCTATCTCTATTTGCAAGAGAAGAACAGAAATTAATAAAGAAGAGAAATATAAGCAAAATTAAAAACAACAACAAAAACATATAAATAGAAAATCCAGTTCATCCTGAAATCACTTACAGGAACACCCATTATGCCAGGCTCACCAGGCAGACCTGTAATTCCTGGTATTCCCATCTCTCCTTTTTCACCACTTTCTCCAAGGTGCCCCTGGTCTCCAGGGTCTCCCTAAACAAATCAGAAGAAGTTTTATCAAGATGCTACAGAATTACTTACTATTGAGAAAAAGTGTTACACATGAATTTGCCGGATCTCCAGGTCAGATAGAAGCTCACTAAAACTAATAGGAATCTTTTCAGCTTCAGATCAGGTTCCAGGTTAGCATAAAGTCCTTTCTATCTCATTTGTACAGTCCTACAGATTTGTGCACTCTCTCCTATAGCAAGATTTTGGCTCAGCCATCTCCAACTGCCTAAGGATGCCCTCTGTGACATACCCTGCCCTGGTGCCTGCAGCAGTCCCCAACCAGCCTTGATCTGACATAGGGAATCGCTTTGGGCTTGTTGTCTCCAGCATGATGGGCGCCATGGAAAGAAGCTGTACTTAGTTCTCCAGCTTGTGTTTGCTCTCTCAAGCTGCACAACTTTGCAGTTCTTGCAGGGTAGGTATGTGCCTAAAAAGCACAGCAAAGCCCACCCATAGTCTCCTGTTAGAGCCTCCTATGTAAAACTATGTGCACTTAACTGGGCTCTGTTGAGCTTGTGAAATGCAGAAGGGAAAAAACAGATTTGGGTTCTTAAACTAATGACTGCTTTACATTTGCTATAAAAACTGAACATACCTTTGGGCCATCTTTTCCTTGGACACCATCTTCTCCTGGAGGTCCCGGTTCACCCTTACAGAAAGGGGCAATTGAAAATGAAATCAAAATTACTGCCACTGTCTAAACTTCTCCAGATAGAAGTGTTGCCTTGGAAGAACTAAGGCTGTTTGGTTTTACACATACTCATCATGTTTTTGTATTTTCTGAACTTTGAAAAACTTCTATGCTGCTGTGATAGTTTACTTTATTTGTTTCCATTTTTCAGTGATTTACAGTGACAACGTCACAGTGCTGTGAATCTGGAATGCATGAACGTAAAAGACGATCAGCATTAGAAAAACCTGAGGCAATAGTATGGCCATATAATGCTGTAGATATGGATAGTGGCACAGAGTGGCTTCAGTGTATAACATGTAATTACAGTAGCCTCAAAAATATACCTATACTCTCCTGAAACGTCAATGTTCATGTGGATAACTGTCATATTGGTACATTTAGGACTCAATTGAGGGCCAATTCATCACTTATCAACAGTAACCACACCATACTATTTTAGATATCAGAATATTTGCCTTTCTCAGGGTCTGCTTTTCAAAGATGCTGGCCACCTGTAGTTTTGGACCGCAGACAGCGCAGAAGAAAATAGCAGCTGCTAACTACTAGTAACATGATATTGCAGACCAGAGCGTCCACTGTGGACCGCTACCAGGAGCTACTCTTCTCCAAGGACAGGCAAAATCATGCAGTCCACCTTGCTAGAGACTTAAGCATCCTGGAAAAAAAAATCCATCACTAGAATTTTAAAACTTCAAAAGCAAGCAAGTATTTGAGTCAGATGGAGAAATGACACAGAAAGAATAAGCAGGGCCACGAGTGCTTGGGAAAATTGAGCGCTGAGTAAGTTATCCACAGCACCAGAAGCAAATCAGCTGCATTACTGAGTGGTACAGAGAGATACTTTGCTCTGCTGAGACTATAACGTTCCCACTACCTGACCTAGCTCAGGTATCTGTACACACTGCACACAGCATTATTTTGTGCTATTATCATAACAGTTGGGCAAGACACTCATGGATTTAGCTTTGTGTTCAAACCACTTGTTCACATGTCACCACATGTTCACATGAGACAGATAGCTATATATCAGCATTATAATCAATAGTCTTTCCAATCTGCTAAAGTATTACAAATATTCTTTTTTGAAAGTTATAAGAAAATAACTTCTTATTGAATTCTTTTGAAAAATTAAAGTTTTGTAATCTGCATTTCTGAAACATTCTTAACATACTTTCCTTTTCAGAAGAAGTTTTACAACCATAGCTTACCCTTAAACCTTGATCACCTGGCTCTCCAGCCTTCCCAGCAGCTCCAGTGTCCCCCTGGGACATAACAAGAAAATTAAATTATTTGACTGTAAGGCACAATATTTCTAATAGTGATAGGGCGTACAGATAATGCAGTCATTGTGATTATAACAGTATTTCTTAATGGCTTATTTCCTGTATCACTACTTGCTTGCCTAATGAATTAGATCACTACAAAGTACTCAGATTTACTTTTATGGAAACTGGAAAACGTATATAGCACAAAAGAGAGTAATTTCAACATTTACCTTTGCACCTGGTTCTCCTTGCAGACCAGGTTCTCCCTCAGGACCAGGAGGTCCCTGCACAATACAAGAGGTACCATTATATTATAATGATACATGGTCACCAATAACAACTTAATACAGCCAAAATCCAAGCAGAAAAACTACATGAGACAATAGGAAAGTTGCATATCTGAAAAGTAAAAATAAGACAACACAGTTCTTTGGTCTTTCTAGAGATAGACAGAAGAAGAGAAAAAACGGTACAGGAGGAGTTCAGATGGATCAGGAATATATGACAGACTCAGCAGCACCATGAAGCCTGTATCCTTCACCACAAATTAACTAGCAGACTAAGCAACAATCCATCTTTTGCAAATCTGACTGACAACTCTATCACTGTTTAGGCGTAGAGCCAAGCAGATATACCTTTGGAGGACAAATGTACAGGGGTCTTCAGCCCTCAAGGAATTAATGGTATCACATAACTTCTTGTATAGTTTACATTTAAACCTTTTCTTCACAGGCAGTCAGAAAAACTGGGTTCTGGGTGACTGAGGAAGTGCATATCTTTGAATAAACTAAATCCTTTTTGTTCTGAGTGAGCTTATCCCTCAGCTACTTCCTTGCAAATGTGGCTAATATATTCTGTCATATTTCTTTCAAAGAGATACTAAAAACAAAGCAAAAAATAGAAGCAAAAGTTAGCAAGAAGACTGCCTGCAGCTGCTTTTCTTCTTCTACCATTTACAAGGACATATGATTAATGCTGTTCCAGTTGCAAACCCCCAGTCTTAGACAAGCAAACTGCAAGGAGAATGGTGTTTCTTCCAGAAAAAAAGCCCTTTGCTCAACTTAACATTTAGCTTCTAGGTGCAGATTTCATGAAAATGTGCTTGAAGACAGTCCTTGAAGATATTGCTTATTTTAGATACTACTTGTTGTAATAGCTATAAAGTAAGAGAGACTCTCAACAGCTCATTGTATTTAAGTCAGGTGCAGGTAAAACAAAAATAGTTCCTGAACACTTTGTCCACGCATATTCTGTCCTTTGAGCGTTTTTAATAAGTACACACACAGATCCTTAAAAGCTTACCTCAAAACCCATTTCTCCAATAGGGCCAGCCTCTCCTGGTTGTCCTCTTGGACCCTGACGTTAAACAAAACTTTGGATGCATCATTCAGTTACGGCAGCACATAATATTAAATTACATGGTACAGTCTTGATTTTGTCTCTTCATAACCCTGCCAGGTGGTGTAAAGCGTATTTCATTGTCTTTGCTCCTGAATCCCACAGTGTACACTAGTACCACAATGGGATACAGTTAAGAGCACTGAAGATCTTATTGTCAGTCTTGACACAGTAAAATAACCGGTTTCAAAGAATAGCACACATCTCCCTTCTTTTAGGCCAAAAGTAAATTATTATCTAAACTAAGCTGTCCTCTCGATTAACTGAGACTTTGTTTAATTAAGGTTTGTTACACTCTGTCTGGTTTGTTTTGGGGAAAAGCCTACAGTCTGGAACAGAATTAACTGAAAACAACTACTGTGTGCTTCACTTTATGGATTCAGCAATGTTTATACAAGACAATCACTGAGGTGTAACGGACTGCAGCCTTTTTGGTAATAGCATGAGGGACTGTTCTTGTAAGCCATACTACAAATAAGAAACTAATTGCAGTAACACCTACGGATCTTTTCCTAAAGCGGCATGCTCAAGTTTTGCGTACAAGTTAATTGTCTACCTCTGTTCACAGAACAGGATTTATGTGCCTAATGGGTAGAGTTTGCCTTTAGCAGCTTACAGCTCATTCCATAGCCAGCGCGAACCTATGTCAAGACAAATCAAACCCTTGGGTGCACCCAGTCTCTGAAGCTTGAGAAAGTTCACAGCCATTTACCCCGTTCGGATTCATCTCTGTTTAAAGAGAGAGAACTTAAAAACATTTTTGTTGCTCTATTGTTCTCATATAAAGAAAAGATGCGGCTATCTGTATTTGTGATAGAAGCCTTTCAAGTAAATACCTACTCTTCTCTTTCAGTTCCTCATTACAGAACATGCATACAGTTTTGCTGCTCCTGATGTCCTGGCAGTGATGATGCAAGTCTCTTCTTCCCTTCTAGCATGAACGTAACCTGCATATTACTGAGAGGATTTCAGCTGTTGTGTGTATTTTATCCTATAGTTTCATTTAAGTGTAAGCAACAACTGAAACTGCAGTTAATTTCCCAGGGAGAATTCATCTGCGATAAATGTAAGTGCATTGGTTTTGGTTTGCAGCAGCTCCACGGCCTTCTATTCCAGTGTCCCAAAGCTTAACTGTAATTCAGGAGCCAAATATTCCTTCATCATACTCCCGTGGAGCTAAGCCTGCTGGCTTGGTAACATACCTCTTCCCTGTGACTCACAGGGAACTTCAGAAGTCAAAGATTCAGAGCAACATGGTGACCCCTTCTAACTATTAACAAACAGTAATTTACTAACAAGGACTTTACTGAAAAGGTCTGACAAAACAGGTAAAACAAGAGGGTAACTTGGATCAAGCCTGTTGCTACAAATAGTTCTAATTGCTTAATTTTTTCTGCTCTTCCACCAAAAATTAGTGTTTCTTTGCTCTGTGCAGGACTAGTGACAGGGCCAGAGAAAGCGCTGCAGCAGCTGGCTTCTGTGCAGTGACCAGCTGATGGAAGGTGAAGTCAAGCTGCTTGCACAGCAGCTAAAAAAACCAAGCCATGCATTTCAGTTCGTAATGTCTTATGTCATTTTCCAAGCTTCTTTGTAGCTCCACGTATCATTATCCAGACAAAGTCATTTTACGTTTTCAGCACGTGAAAGCAATAGCACCCTGCTCACAGGATAAACTTTTCCTAACTGTAATGTTGCATGTGTAGATTCTACCCTGATGAGCACAACAGAAATGTAGGTTGCTCAGGAGTAGACTGCTTAGACTAGATAAGGCTGATTATCATTCTATACATATGAAAATTCAGGTTTGATTGGCAAATGGAAGGAAACTTGTATGTAAACTTGGCATTGCAAGAATTTACAGCTGTTACAATATGGAGACTAGATAAAATAGATCAAAAGATATGAAAGAGATAAAATGGCAAGAATCCAAAAATAAACATTAGAAAATTCATTTTTTGTTGACACTTCTTATCCTCCTACGAAGCTGGCAGCTGAAATGAGTAGGTAATTATATTTAAAAGAAAATTTACTAAAATAAAACCTGTTGACTGTTAGAATTTTTCTGTGCAAAAAAATCGTGTAATAACTTTCTGTAAGTTAAGATCACTATATATAATAATAATATTTGATGACATCACATATAATAATAATTAGTAGAAATAATATACTTTATATCCGCAACTCACCTTCAAGATTTAAACTAACTATATGTCATTTGTTGTGCAAAAGAACTTTTAAGAAGTAACAAAAACAGACAATTTTTGACAGCTCTTGAATTTCCGCACTATAAAACAGCAGCCTTCTACTAAGTCCTCCTAGGAAAGCACACACT